CGGCGGCCCGACGCTGCAGGCCAATCCCCGTGTCCGCGCGCCGGGTGGGCCCGACGGAAACATTCCACAGGAATCCCTCCGCCTCGCCGGGTGCTTCCCGTCCCCCCCGCCGGGCTGAGCAATGGACCATCCCTCCCGCCTCGGCCGCGGCGGGCTGTACCATCGGGGACCTCGGAGGGGAGAGCCGCAGCTGGGCCCGGGCCAATCGCAGGGCAGGAAGGAGCGCAGCCAATGGGAAGCTTGGGTTTCTGGACCACGTGCTGTCTGATGAAGTCTGCCTTGGTGTCCAGAGTGGGTAAGGGCGGTGAAGCGGGGCGCTGGCTGTGTGAGTCAGGTGGCCAAGGATAACGAGCACCCTTCGTCCCCCAAATCGGAATCTTTAAGGAGCCAGAGAGAGGGGCCGAAACAACCCCAATCCATTCTCCCTCTTGGCCTGCCCTTGTCCCGGTCCAGCCTTCCTCCAAGCAGATAAAAGGACGCATTCATTCCAGGCGGGCAAGGAGCGAGATGAATAGGGAGGGTCCCCAGTGTCCCTGCTTCCTGGGGGGTGCACAATGGACAAGGGCAGTTATTCATTCAGTTCGTTCATTCATTCATTCCCTCATCAAATAGTTTAATGACATGCCATGCCTCGCTCTGTCTTACCTCCGCAGACGCATCACCGAATGGGCTCCTGAGGAGGGAACAGTCCAAGGAAAGGCCTGGCGGTCAGACTGGGTGGTAGAGTACACAGAGCAGTTAGGACCGCTGCTATGGAGTTGGTTCCTACCGGTAGTGACCTTGTAGGACAGAATGGAACTGCCCCGCGACCAAATTGCTTTCCATGTGTGTCACTCTCCACAGCCCTGGCACCACCTTAGGCCCTGAAAGGACTCGTTTTAACCCATAGTTTTCCTCATCCCAAGTAGTGTTCTGCATCGCTAAACTTCAAAAGTTCAGATCTGTGCCAGTGTCACGTTGTTAGCCACGATGAAATGAGCTGAAGCCTGCTTTGAACAATGGACCCTTTGCTTATCAGGCTCGTGATTAACCGCTCTGCCACCAGGGCTCCTTAAGCATCTAGTAATAAACAAGCAAGCTAGTAAAACACAAACAAGCCTATTGCCATCAAGTCATCTCCAACAAATAGAGAATATTATGGGATAAGGAACGCTGGTGGCATAGTGATTACACTTTGGGGTGCTAACCTCAGGTCTGCCGTTCAAAACCACCAGCTGTTCCGCCGGAGAAAAACCAGGCTTTCTACTGGGGTAAAGAGTTAGTCTCAGAAATTCAGAAGGGCAGTTTCACCCTGTCCTATAGGGTCGCTCTGAGTGAGAGTGGACTGGATGGCAGTGAGTTTCTGATAGGGTGAAATAGAACTGCCCCTAACGAGTTTCCACGGCTGTCATCTCCATGGGAACAATTCTGAAGGATTAGCCACTGAAAATGCTGCGATCAACAGAGGCACGTGGTCAGATACCAAGCCGGAAGCTGAGCCCCTCAGGGCAGAAGGCACTCAACCTACAACGAAGGAAGGAAAAGGAGCTGACTCCTCAAAGCAGCGTTGACTGGAATGACCCGGATGGAGTAAAGCTTTTGAGACCTCGTTTGCGCCTACTGAGATAAAACAGTTGCAAACATGCATTAGTCATCGGGACGTGGAATGTATGAAATAGAAGTCTAGGAAAAGTGGAAGTGGTTAAAAATGAAGCAGAACACCCAAAGACGGATAACCCAGGCATTAGTGAGAGGAAATGGACTGGCTTTGGCCATTTTGAATCGCATATGGTTCACTCGGGCGGGAATGACAAATCCAAAAGCGATGGCATCACAATCAGCACATCAAAGAGACATTCCAAGGTCTATCTTGAAAGTGCCATGCTGTCTGTGTGAGGATCTGTATCCCTACAAGCAAATCCCATCAGTACAACTATTATTCAACTATATGCATCAACCACTAAAGCTAGTGACGAAGAAACTGAAGAACTGCCAATTTCTTCAGTCTGAAAGTGATCAAATACACAATCAAGGTGCATTGATAATACACTGGCCAACACACCTTTTTGCACCTCAACTGTTGTACTTGATTCTGGGTATATTTGCCCTGCTGAATTCAAGAATGACTCCACTTTTCCCCTATCAGCTCTGATTTGTGAGATACAGAACATGTTGTCCTGTAGCACTCTCAACTGGGCTTGCCCATGAAAAGCAAAGCTATTGTAACGTGGTTTTAGCTAGCCTGAGATACAGAAAGTGCACACTGGCTTTATTTAAAGTAGTTTGTGCAGTGATGTTGTGTATGTAAACTTAGGTAAAACTGTTTCTTGGAAACAGTTGGCAACTCCTCAGAAGGTTAGACA